TATTTTTTTTGTTGTTTTTTGGTTTGTTTTTTTTTTTTGAAGCAGGGTCTCCCTGTGGTCCCAGCTGTCCTGGAACTCACTATGTAGACAAGACTGGCCTTGAACTCACAGAGATCCGCCTGCCTCTGCCTCCCAAGTGCTGGGACTACAGGCCTGTGCCACCACGCCCAGCTTGTGGGGGCATTCTTTAAGAAAGTACCTTCAGGGCTGGAAAGATGGCTCAACAGTTAAGAGCACTGGCTGCTCTTGCAAAAGACCTAGGGTTTGATTCCCAGCACCCACATGGCAGCTAACAACCATCTCTAGCTCCAGTTCCAGGGGATCTGACGCCTTCTTCTGGCCTCTGCAGGCATTACATGGCACATTACACTTACATACATGCAAGCAAAACATATACATAAAATGAGAGAGAGAGAGAAAGGAAGGAAGGAAGGAAGGAAAGAGAGGGAGAGAGAGACAGAGAGAGAAAGAAAGAAAGAAAAAGAAAGAAAGAAAGAAAGAAAGAAAGAAAGAAAGAAAGAAAGAAAGAAAGAAAGGAGTGAGGGAGGGAGGGAAGGAAGGAGGGAAGGAAGGAAGAAGGAAAGAGGAAGGAAGGAGGGAGGGAGGGAAGGAAGAAGGAAAGAAGGAAGGAAGGAGGAGGGAAGGAAGAAGGAAAGAAGGAGAGAGAGAGAGAAAAGGCCTGTAAGTGTCCCTTGCTCCTTTCTATCCCTTCCTCTGTATTTCCTCCTGGAAAGCAGAGTCCATCATTCATCATTAAGGACTATTCAGCAAATACCTGACATATTAGAACACCAAAGTAGGACAAGTCTAGACCTTCAACATGGCTGAAGTCTCTATTACTCTGGACTATATACCTAGGCATCTACATAAGAGAAAAAAAGTGTATCTCAACTTTGTTGGAGCCATTGCCATTTTGATATTTTTGACACTCACAGACTAACAAAGAAAAAATAAATAAGAGAAAAAGGAAGGAAGGAAGAATGGTATTAAACTCACCTTATTAAGTTTAACATAATCTCAATCCCCAAATCAGACAAGAACAGGAGAAGTGAAGACAATTATAATTCAGGCTTGCTGAATGTGATACAGTCTTATTCAAGACAGACACTCAAATCCTGAGTAAAATATCTCTGAGAGTGTGGTGCCCTTCTATAACCCCAGCAATCTTGGAAACTGAAATAGAAGAATCTTGATTTCCAAGTTCCAGGCCAGCCAGGGCTACATGATGAGACCCTGTTTCACAAAAACTAACAATAGAAAATGTGTCTGGAGGTGACGTCACCAAAATTGATGCCAGTGTGAATTCTCCTTCTCCTGTTCTTTCCTTTCATTCCTGGAGTCATGAGAGCCTTGGAAGCCATCAGGTCCATAGCTATTTCTCTTTCATTAGAAGAAAATGTTGGTCATCTTCAAGTTACATTTGTTTGTTTTCTATTGCTTTCCTTCTTGTGTTTTGTTTTGGGTCATAGGGCCGGGGATTGAAATCAGAGACTTGGACCTGCTGGCAAGTGCTCTACCATTGAGCTGCGCCCCCATGGGCTATTTAGGGGTTTTCCTTTCTGGTTTGGGATTGTTGATGTTGTTTTTGAGACAATCTCTCTCTATAGCTCAGACTAGCCTCGAGCCCAAGACCTTCCTGCCTCTACCTCCAAAGTATGAGAATTAAAGCATGAGTCACTCTACCCAGCTTCAATTTTTTAAATCTCTTTTGTCAGGTCAAGATCCAATCCCTATTTGTCCCAGACCCCAATGCCCTATATCCCACATGCTAACCTATTTCCATTGGGAGAACTTTATAAATCACTTGCACATAAATCCTCAGCTTGCAGGCTGTTTCTGCAGATAACCAAAAATAATGTTTGATATGTATCTGTAATTTTGTTGTAGACAGACTCTTACTATATAGACCAGGCAGGCCTCAAACTCATAGAGATCTGCCTGCCTCTATCTCCTGAGTGCTGAGATTGAAGGTGTGTGTCACTAATCCCAGCATACCTGTAATGTTTTCATACTGTTCTTGCCTAGTTTGGATATTGGTTTTATAAGAATAAGATACAGGGGCTGGAGAGAGGATCAGCAATTAAGAGCACTAACTGCTCTTGCAGAGAACCTGGGTTTTATTCCCAGGACCTACATAGTGGCTAACAACCATCCATAACTCCAGTTTCAGGGGATACCATGCCCTCTCCTGACTTCTATGGGCATTGCATGACAAGGGTGTACTTATACGCTTGCAGTCGATACATCCATATACATAAAATATGGAGAATGATTTCTAAAAAGAATAAGATAGAAAATGGTTCTTTTAAAAAAAAAAATTGGCATTACTTGCCTATGATGAACACAGGACAGTGGCCACCTCGGGACTGAATGCATGTGGAGACAGTAGGAAAAGGTAGGAGTTAAGCACAGAGCTAGATTAAGGCTGTTGTTCTAGGAACAGCTTTTAATTTGGATGGAGACATTAAAAATGATTAACCAAAAGAGATTCAAACACAGTCCAGTAATGATAAAAGGAAGCAAGGATTGTGATTGGCCAATGAAATTCTGCATACCTAAAGCTTACTAAATAAATAAATTAAATCCTCTGTCCTCTTAAACAAATGCAGCCTTCCTTTGGTTAATTGCCCGCTGCTGCTAGAATCAAGGTCCTCCTAGACCGCCTCACTGAGCAGTTACAAGGGTCCCAGGAATCACTCTGTAAAGCCTAAATTAAGATGCAGGAACTGTAGTACACTGCCAAGCTCAGCGTCTTATTTTCAAATAAATTGCCCCGGTTGCAGTACCTCCCCCATGACCAACTCCCTGTGCACAGGTCCATGTTTCTGTATCTTTCATCTTGTCTCAAGCACAGAGAAAGAGATGCTTTGCACTGGGTCCTGGCAAGGATGGGAGACGGGATTGTGTAAATAGGCTCTCCATCACTGTGTAGATTCCTAACAATCAACACAGAGTCACATCAATGTTTATATGTGTGTGGTGTGTGTGTACATACTCACCTGTGCAAATATACACATCTACATCTTTGTGGCAGTTGTCCATGTATGTATATATATACTTGCCAGTGTGTGCGTGTGTGTGTGTGTGTGTGTGTGTGTGTGTGTGTGTGTGTGTGTGTGTGTGTGTGTGTATTTGCCCATGGCACCATTTTGCTGTTATAGGGCACAGGACTGAAGATCCTGGCCCTCCCTCTACCTGAAATGGTCCAGAGTCAGCCACACTAGTCTTTGTACCCAAACTCATCACTTTGCACATGTCAAAGGAGCTGTAGGATTGACCCTTGATGCCCAGCTGCAGCCACTCACTTTTGTGTTTTCTGCCCTCAGGTGCCCTTCTCCAACTGCAGCCGGGACTGTCTGGCAGGGACCAGGAAGGGGATCATTGAGGGCAAACCCACCTGCTGCTTTGAATGTGTGGAGTGTCCTGATGGGGAATACAGTGATGAGACAGGTAAAGGAGCAGCTCCTCACAGGCTCTGTGCAGAAGGGCTTGGGCTGTCTCAGGGGTCAGCAAAGCCCCATGGAAGTGCTGAGCTGGTGCTGAGCCCTATTTCCCGTCTAACCAAGGCATGTCAGAGCAGTGCACTCGGCAGGGCATGAAATGGGAAACAAAAAGAATGCCGTGTGTCTTTTTAACATTGCAGGTATTTACAAACATCCCTGTCACACACCTCTCTCCCTCTGACACTGCTCTCCAATAGTATGCCCCCTTCAGTGACCCTAAGTGGACAAAGTGCCATCTATTCCAGCTCTAAAGTTAATAGGTCCTGATAGATTGCCTGCTGGTGCCTGACAGTTTGCTGTCTTTCTTACTGGCGTTCTTCCTGTGAGTTCTTTTAAAGTGAGAATAATAATTAAATCTGTCATATAAATGTGTGGGAATTAAACAAATTAATATTAAGTTCTAAGTAAAAGTGACTAGCATATTGGAAGCATTGCATAAATGTTAACTGTAATCATTCCTTCATCCTCAGCACAACAGTGGGCTTACCATGTTTTCATCTTACAAATGAGGAAACTGAGGCTTAGAGAGGCTAAGGAACCTGACCAAAGTCACACAGCTAGTCAACAGCATGGCCAGGATTCCATCCACACTCTTAACTGCAAAACTCATGCTCCCTTCCCTGCCCCAAACTGCAACCCACCTGGCATACAGCGGAGTCAACAAATGTCCATCACCTAGATAAATATGTACCCTCCCTCACTGGAAAGCTGGGGGTGTGGACCCGAGGAGTGAGCGGAACACTGGGCACATGCAGGGGACACTGGCCTTCATCTAAAAGGACATCTACGGTGGCACATCTCCAAATCCTAGCAATATTCAAACTAAATTGGGCTGTGTGTGAACTGGTAACAATGTCAAGCTACTTGGCTGTTCTAACCATTTCATTATCTGTGTACATGCCACAACACCATGTTGCAAACCTCAAATATGAGCAATAAAATTTATTTTTTAAAAAAACATAAATCAGATAGAAGTTGAAACACATTTGATGGCCCATGTTAGACCTCTGGGGTGCAGGGTGGTGTCTGCTACAAACCATCAGTAGGCATTGTTAAAAGAAATGGGTACCTTCAAATATTCAAAACAAGAACAGTAGAAACCTCAAAGATGTGTTTTTGATAGTGTAAAAATCACAATTAGGGACCCACAGGATGGCTTAGCTGGTTAAGGTACTTGTGACCACATCCACCCTTCCACACGCACCCTTTATCACGTTGACCTATATGCCACCCGGTAACTAACCCTGCACTGGGCCATTTTTACAGACGCGAGTGCCTGTGACAAGTGCCCGGATGACTTCTGGTCCAATGAGAACCACACTTCCTGCATTGCCAAGGAGATCGAGTTTCTGGCGTGGACCGAGCCCTTTGGGATTGCCCTCACTCTTTTTGCGGTGCTCGGCATTTTCCTGACTGCCTTCGTGCTGGGCGTCTTCATCAAGTTCCGAAACACGCCCATTGTCAAGGCCACCAACCGAGAGCTCTCCTACCTGCTGCTCTTCTCCCTGCTCTGCTGCTTCTCCAGCTCCCTGTTCTTCATCGGAGAGCCGCAGGACTGGACGTGCCGCCTGCGCCAGCCGGCCTTCGGCATCAGCTTCGTGCTCTGTATCTCGTGTATCCTGGTGAAAACAAACCGAGTCCTCCTGGTGTTTGAGGCCAAGATACCCACTAGCTTCCACCGCAAGTGGTGGGGACTCAACCTGCAGTTCCTGCTGGTTTTCCTCTGCACCTTCATGCAGATCGTCATCTGCGCCATCTGGCTCTACACGGCGCCCCCGTCAAGCTACCGCAACCACGAGCTGGAGGACGAGATCATCTTCATCACGTGCCACGAGGGCTCGCTCATGGCGCTGGGCTCCCTGATCGGCTATACCTGCCTGCTGGCTGCCATCTGCTTCTTCTTCGCCTTCAAGTCCCGGAAGCTACCCGAGAACTTCAACGAAGCCAAGTTCATTACCTTCAGCATGCTCATTTTCTTCATTGTCTGGATCTCGTTCATTCCGGCCTACGCCAGCACCTACGGCAAGTTCGTCTCCGCTGTGGAGGTGATCGCCATCCTGGCAGCCAGCTTTGGCTTGCTGGCCTGCATCTTCTTCAACAAGGTGTACATCATCCTCTTCAAGCCCTCCAGGAACACCATCGAAGAGGTGCGCTGCAGCACCGCCGCTCACGCTTTCAAGGTGGCAGCCCGGGCCACGCTGCGCCGCAGCAATGTATCCCGTAAGCGATCTAGCAGCCTCGGGGGCTCCACGGGCTCCATCCCCTCCTCCTCCATCAGCAGCAAAAGCAACAGTGAAGACCGGTTCCCCCAGCTGGAGAGGCAGAAGCAAAGGCAGCCACTGGCCCTGACCCAGCAAGATCAGCAGCAACAGCAGCAGCAGCAGAAACAGCAGCAGCAGCAGCATCTGACTCTCCAGCAGCAGCATCCACCACAGCCGAGATGCAAACAGAAGGTCATCTTCGGCAGTGGCACGGTCACCTTCTCTCTGAGCTTTGATGAGCCTCAGAAGAACGCCATGGCTCACAGGAACTCGGTTCGTCAGAACTCCCTGGAGGCCCAGAAGAGCAATGACACCCTCAACCGACACCAGGCACTGCTCCCACTGCAGTGTGGGGACACAGACTCAGAAATGACCATTCAGGAAACAAGCCTGCAAGGGCCTATGGTGGGGGACCGACAGCCAGAAACGGAAAGCCCAGATGAGATGACCCCAGCACTGGTGGTGTCCAAGTCAGGGAGCTTTGTCATTAGCAGTGGAGGCAGCACAGTCACAGAAAATATACTGCACTCCTAAGGGGGAAAGCCTGTCTGCAAGAATCCACAGGGGTTTCTTAGAGCGACAAGAATGAGAATCAGGCCTCCTTTCCTCCAAGAAGGGGTAAAATAGATTCATCAACAGCCTGAACTCAGTTGCACTACTTTGGATGATAGTGACTGCTGATGTGCCCCCTTAAAACTAAAAGAAGAGCCATGTTTCCCCGTTGTTTTTCAGAGCTTGGTGTCATGCCCAGGTTCACTGTCATCCATATCCAAAGTCTCTTCCTCTGCTCTATCTACCCAACAGCTCAGATGAAAGGCTACAAGCTGCCTACTTACTCCCTCCTTTAAAAATGCTTATTTCCAGTGATGCCCATTTAGAGGTTCACAGACAGCCAGACTAGGACAGTGGGGGCTGATAGGACTTCAGATTCGTTACCACTAAAGTTAGGAGTCTAAAAGCCAGAACTGTCCCATACCTTGACAAGTGGACAGAACTTTAGATGCTCAAGATGTCAGAGGGATGTGTCCTCTCCTATTTATGAAAACCTTGAGACCTGTTGTCTTGGTCCCCTCCCTGCTGCTGCTATTGTGTGACAGTTTGCATTCTTCCCATGGCAACATGTCTGGGTTTGTCCAGAATGCAGCAGTGATGCCATGTTTAGAGTCCAAGTTCACAGGATCACCTCTAATCATTGGGAAAGGACTGAATAAATCCAATGAGCTGTAACTGTTATTAATATTGCTGTACATAGCTTTATCCTTAAGAAAATGTCTCTGTTGTAACCATCCATGGACAATTATAAACTGAAAAAAAAGTCACAGTCTGGATTCTACAAGGCAGTATTACTGAGCTCTGTTTTCCTTTTCCACCACCACACCCCACTCTGATTAGCAGAGCCCATGTGAACCCTCTCAGAGCCCTAAGGGACCAGAAGCTTCCTTCATCACTGTCCCCCAAAAGCTTTCAGAAGCCAGATCTAGACCTGGCCCTATGGAGAATAAGCTCTGAGAAGCAAGAATGGTTTCCAGTGAATGCCACAAGTTCCCTCCAGCAGTGGAGGCAAAGGTGTCCAGTGACCACCTTACTGCTGAGAACTCAGATTCTGTACCACAGGAGCCAAAGTTCAGGCTGTTTTTCACTTGCTTAGACTATGCCATCGTTTGGATTATGACTCTAAAGCCCCATGTATTAAATGATTAGTCCCCAGCATGGCACTCTTGGAAGGTCACACATGGTGTCTTTAGGAGGTGGGGCTTAGTAGGACATCCTGGATCATTGGGGATGTGCCCTTGAAGGGGATTGTGGAACTCTGACCCTTCCTCTTCCTCTTTTATCTCCTGGCCATGAGGTGAGCAGTTTTTTCTGCCACTCGCTACCTACCATTGCTGTCTAACACCCACCGGGGCCCAAAGCAATGTGTCCATCTGAGCATGGACTGGACTCTAAAACTGTGACCCAAGATAAACCATTTTTTCTTTCTAATTATCTCAAGTATTTTATTATAGTCACAGAAAGCTAACACAGGATATAAAGCAAAATTACTATCAGCCATTCAGATTTTAATGCCTGACTCACTGACACAATAACCTTCTTCATAATAATAAGTCCAAAATTCCTGAGGCTCCAGTGAAGGGATCAGTAGTAGCCAAGTCCTACTTGTATATCCAAAAGACTCAATGCTCTGCCTCTGTGTTACCAGCACCTCCTCAAGCATCAAGGGAAGACCATCACTAGTTGTCACTTTTCTCAGATCAGATCACCCTGAAAGCTGTCCTGAACCAAGACCAAACCATAGCACATAAATCTGTCTGTGAGCTCAAATGTTATAGTTCTTGTTACCGTCTTCCTCTGATTGCTCCCTCCACCCCAGGATTTTTTAAGGTGACTGTTGGCATATGGTCCTGAGGAGGATGGACAGCGAGCAGAAGGCGCAGCAGGGACAACACTGTCACAGAAGGTGGTAAAGCACCAGCACTCCGTCTAGAGAGGGTACGGCCAAGCAGATCCTGCTGCCCTGCTGTCACTCACTCTCTGAGCAAGGCACCTTGCCAAGTGAAGATTTATTTTTTAACATTTCACTTAGAACAAGAACAAAATAGCCAAAAGTTTAATGACTTTAAAAATGTGTCAATAATTGTATGGAAAAAAACCTCAACAAAATGCCACATTTTGTACTTCCTGTTCTGATTCGGTGCACACACCCCCCAAGTAATGTCCTCATCTCATGATGAAAAAGAAAATGAGGCTTAGCAATAGAAAAAACATGCAAGCATTATGCTAAGCACTCCCTCTGCCAGGGGCTTGCAACTCAAGTAATCTTTCGGAATATCCTCCAGAAAGATAGATGGAACATGGTTCCAACTTGAATGCAATAGCCACAACCATCAGAACCAAATCACAGGATAAGAGAGGAACTTCCATTGTTTTTCTCTAACAACCTAATTTTTATCTCGAATTCCTATTCAGCCTAGCAACAGAAGCACTGCATGAGTCAAACTGGGGATTTCCCCAGGAATTTCAGAGTTTTCTCCATCAATTTAGATGCTCAGGCATCAATTCAGAGTTTGGGTGTTTTTTCTTCCTCTTTCCAGGTGACTTGTGGCATAATGGGCATAAGGGTCTTCAATCACCGGCAGCTTCTCTTGGCATTGCCAAATGCAGTCTTGTCTGGCCCTCAGTAACTGTGCCTTCATGCTGATTTCCTCCAATGTGTCTGTATTAGTCCATTTTCTGTTACTGTAACAGAAAAGCTGAGCAGGCTAACTTTATAGAAAAAGGAGGTTTATTTAGCTCCTAGTTCTGTAGGTTCAAGGCCCAAATACCTTCCTCAGTTGGTTTGGTCTTGTATAGAACATGACGGTGCATGAAAAATGGCAAACATGAATTCAGAAGGGAGAAATCACATCTCAAAACAGAAAGCCAGAGAGAAGATTATGGGTCAGGCTCACTCTTCTAACAATTCACTCTTGAGACCTCAGAGTCTCCATAAGAACTATCTTGATTCCCCCTAAAAGCAGGTACCCCACTCCCCAGTTACCAAAGCACCTTCTAAAAGGCTCCCCACCATCTCTCAATATTACCGTACTAGGGAGCAAGCTTCCAACACATGAAGCCCTTAGAAACTGTGTCCAAACCTTAAATACATCACATCTCCATCTAGTCCCCAGCCACCAGATTCTTGGTGGTTTCCATGGATATATCACTGTCTCATCTGAGCACCCCTTCCCAGGCTTGTCAGCTCCCTTGACTCTCTCCAGGCTCTCCTGAGGGCCAGGAAGCTACATGAGCTCTGTCCTAGTTTGTCTCTCCATTGCTGTGACAAAACACTCTGACCACTACCAACTTAGGGAGGAAAGGGTTTATTTTATCTTACATCTCCTGGGTCACAGTTCATCAGGGTGCCCAAGATAGGAACTCAGGGTAGGAGCCTGGTGGTAGGAGCTGGAGCACAGGCCATGGAGGAATGCTGCTTACTGGCTTGTTCCCCTGGCCCCTGCTCAGTTTGCTCTCTTATCCAACACAGGCACCCCCTGCCCAGGGGTGGCACTACCCACAGTGGGCTGGGCCCTCCCACATCACTCAACAATCAAGAAAATGCCCCACAGACATCGCCACAGGCCAGTCCAATGGAGGCAATTCCCCAACTGAGGCTCCCTCGGCCCAGGTGTGTCAAGTTGACACTAAAGCTATCCAGCACAAGCTCTCACCTTGGAGTCTACTTGACTGCTGCCCTCCCATGCCAAAGCAGAGAATTCATGTTTGATAACACAAGCATACAGACCACTAAATGAGAAGCTGGGTACATACTGCCAAGCCTGTGTGCACCTGTATGCCAGACAGAACAATATCCAGCCAAAGATGCCTGAGTCCTAACTCCAGAGCCTGTGATTATGTTAATAAAGCAAAGGTGATCTAAACATGATGACTGAATTAAGATTCCTTCCAAATAACCGTGAGGCAGGAACCTCTCTACAGAACAGTGTTGGGTGATGCAATCTGAAGAAGGCTCCACAGACCATCCATCATGACTTTGCATAAGGAGGGAAATGAGGGGCTAAGGATATATGTTGCTTCTAGAAGCTTGAAAAAGAGCCCTGGTTCTCCCCAACAAACTTCCATAAGGGAATGCAGAGTAGTTAGCACTTTGATTTTATTCCAGTGAGACCCTTCTAGGACTTCTGACCACTGGAACTTTAAGATAATAAATTTGTGTTGTTTTAAGCCACTGAGTTTGTGGTCATTTGCTTGAATAACAACAGGAATTAATTTTTTTCCAGTGCTGGGGATTGAACCCAGGGCCTCATGCATGTAAGGCCAGCACTCTATCACTGAGCTATGTCTCTAACCCACATACATCTTTGTCATCTCTCTTCCTGAGCTTTGTAGTCTGAGCCTGTCTCAAACATCCATTCCTGCTCTTGCTGTGCCATCCTTCCTTCCAACTATTTCACTCTTATCCTAAGACAAGATCCTGACCAGTATTCTAGTCTCCAAACCTGTGTGGGAAGTACAAGTCTTATGTTCTGAGTCTCGCTGGACTTGAATATAAAAAACAAATAGCCATGATAGTCCAATATATTATCTGTTAGCAGAAACCTAAAAAACAGTAGCTTGGACACACTAGTGCTTGTTTTTCTCTTACATAAAAGATTTTAAGAGCTACATGCATGATCACTTTTAGCCACTTTGTTGTGAAAAAAATCCTCAGAATCTCTTGACAATAGAAACAGCGTATCTTCTGAAAATAAAAATAAATTATATAGTTAAGAAGGATTTTCAGTTAAACGAAAGTGTCTGCTAGATTTTGAGAACTGAGTTTGGAACTTTAGAATTGGCAATCAGCATTTACCATTACAACACTGAAAGAGTCTGACTTGGATTTGGGAAAGTGGAGACTGTCCTAACTCTGTTGTCAAAAGCCACATTTCAGGGCAATGGCTGTCTATCCTGTGAGTCTGGCTAAAGTCACATGGCTGTAGGATGGCTCTTCCCAGCACCAAAGTTTCCCTTTGCATTTGAAACCAGTGCTAAAC